ATACATACATATATAATCTTATGTTTGTTTTTTTTTTACTTTGTTGGGTCTCTAAAGTCTTGTCTAGGATCATATTTTTTTTTATTTTGAATTAAAATATATTTAATAGTGATAATTATTTTAAAAATATTCAAAACATCTTTTAATTGTTTTGAATACTTTTAATCATGTGCTTTAAAAAATAAAAAAATAAATACATAAAAATTATACTAATTAAATATACTTTCAAAAATAAATGTAAAAAAATAATAATTATGTCAAGAGAGATGCAAAAATATTCAAATATTTTAGATAAACGACATTAAATAATTAAAAAAAAATGTTTTTTGAAATGGTAGCTGACAGGTCACCAAACATTGTTGGCCGACGTAACGTCAAACAAAAATATCTATTAAACCATTTCTGAAAGCCACATGAAAAACTCAAAACGATGAATAATTTCTGAAAACTGCTAATATATATACATATATATATAGCTATGTCAAAAAAGCTCGTTGTTCGCGAACAGTTCGTGTTCGATTCGTCAATGAGTTCATATTTGATTCATTCGATAAGTAAACGAGACGAACGTGAATAATTTTTTTTTTTCGTTTGGTTAGTTAAACGAACCAAACACGAACAGTGATGCATTCGTTGTGTTCGAATCGTTACTGTTCGAAATATAAAATAATTTAAAATAATTATATTTTAAAAAAATAAATTTTATAAATTGTAATATATAATAAATTAACAATAATAATATATTAATATATTATATTAGTAATATACTAATATAGATATTATATATTTATATACTATAAGTTATATAATTAATATAATATATTATTTATATATATTAATATTAGGGATGTCAAACTAGTTCTTCCTTCGCGAGCAACTCGTGTTCGGTTCGTTCGTTCGTTAAGAAACGAACACGAACAGTGACTTAGCGAAAAATTTGAAACACGAGCTTAACGGTACGTTCGTTAAGCTTACGTTTTTAGTTATAACAACAGTTCTGCACGTTGTGTTGAAAATGCTCTTATTTTACTTTATGGCGCATAATTTTCCTAAATATTTTAGCACCAACTTGGAAAGCTCCATGCACGTCCATGCTCTCATGACCTACCTAAGAAGTTCAAAATTGAATTAAATAAAGTTAATTAATCAACAAAGAGCTTATGCACATTAAGAAGACAAGCAATATTAGAGAAGCAATATATGTATATATATATATATATATATATATATA